CGTTATGCTTGTCAACACTCAAAATCACAACATACTTAGTTGTTCTAATTGGCTTTTATTTGTGATTCATGAATCAGACAATGTGGTATTCTGTAATATTAGAGTGAGATTCCCCTGAGCAGAGGAAGTAGGCTATGTAAGAAGCTGCACAAAAGTGGACTGGCCGGTTTAAACGTACTTTCCTTCCAGGGTTACAGTAAAGGGGACTTCCTTGTGATACTGGCTTAGGCAAACTGCCCCTTTTCATGGGTTGCTATGACTTTCCTATTTTGCTTTCTTAAAAACCTGGCCTGTTTTAGAGGTCGGTCAGATACATGACACCCAGTACCCAGCACCAGATTGGTCTGCTGAGGCCTAGTGCAGAAGGCTGGTCCAACACAATGGCATAGCAATTTGACGTAGTGTGCCTTTTGCTCTATCTTTTTTACAAAGGGAAAAATCTCAACTAGTTCCTAAAGTCTTTCCAAACTGGTACTTTGGAGAGTATATTCTGCAACCTTTGTACCCATACCCTGGCTTTTGAATTCTGTCCTCTCAGAGCTGTCCCACACCAGGACCAACCACCCCAAGTCAATTCAGTCCCTTGCTAAGCAATCCAGAGTCCTTAGAATCATCCAGTCCAGGTGTCTTCCCCCACCGATCCAGACTTCCTGTATTTGCATTTGTGCCTCATTGCCTATGAATTGGCATTTGTGCTCCTGGCATTTACTACACCTCAAAGATGGGAACTGGCCTTTCTGTAGCAGAATTCGGACATCACGTTTAACAGCAGGGAAGCCAGGAGCCATTGGATAGACAGCAGGAGTTCTGCCTGGAGAGCTCCAGCCACATTAGCTTACCAATCTTGCATTTTGCCACTTGGGTGCTCTGTGGCTTAATGTGTGAGGCTCCATAGGCGTCAGAAAACTTCAACCCCAGGCGCTGCTGGGCATTCACAACTCTACCAGATGCATAGTCTTCGACAAGCTGGGGCCTGCCCTGGAGCCCTGTGAGGAGCGCTCCCCGACTCACTGCTTGAACTGTGCGCTGTGTTGGCAAAGGGCGCAGTCTTCCCCACCTCCAGTGCCTGTTTCTGGGGCAAAGTTTAGTGGGCACTTACTTAATGTGGGCAAGAGACCGGTGCCCAGAGCAGGTTGTCTGTAAAGAAGCTAAGCGTTTACTGTTTCACTTGCAAATTATGCCATCCCACATTTTGGAGAGAGATGCTAAATGAAACACTCTCTAAACTGCTATCTGGCGCCTAGATGGTCCTTGCGTCTCCCTCAGGATTTGTTTGAACCCGGACCTGTCTCCCACAGCCAATTTACACCTCTTATCTGATCATTCAGTCCCGACGGAAGGTTGAACTGACCTAGTCAGTCCGTGTCCATGGCAATGGTGTTAAAGCCCAGCACAGATCAAAGGGAGGAAGGGGGAGATGGTTATAAGGTCTGGGTTCCTCTGGGCCCGAGCGGTGTGTCTGGGAGGTTGGGACATTAGGGCTGGGAGTAGTCACTATCTGAAGAACCCATTGTCGGACCCCAGTGATTTCCTGAGCAAAACCCAGCCCCCCGCGGATCCCGATTATCTAGCGAAGGGGAGTTTCGGGGTCGCTGCCGAGGAACGGCTAGCGCCAGGGGGCTCTCTCTGTCTGAAACCGAAAGCGAGGAGGCGGAGGGAAGGAGTCAGGCAGCGAGCACACGCCAACAAACGCGAGCGTCGGAGCCCCTATCCTTGCAGAGGAAATTCAGCCGCAGACACAGAAGCTGCGGCACAGATGGGCGGGATCCCCTAAACTTGGTCTGCAAAGCTGATTGCCCCCACCACGCCCAGATTATTCCCAGAGGGGAGACAATCCATTCCAATCCCCCTTCCACGTCGGGAATGTAGCCTTGGCCCCCCACCCAGCCGCCGGGCGCCTGGGACCCAGAGGGAAAGACCTGCGCGCAGCCACCCGAGGCGGGGGGCGGGCAGCCGTTTAATCACAGCACGCCTCGCCTCCTCTAACTTGTGTTGATATTCAGAAGAAATCAATCAATGAAAATGAAGCAGGGGCCGTAAATGCTGTTTTTCTTTCTCTTGCGCGGAAAAGCGGGGGGGCGGGGGGGTGGGGACCTCGCCTCGGACCGCAGAGCCGCAGCCGGGCAGAACTCCCTGGCCTGGGGCAGCGAGGAGGAAATGCCGCAGGCTTCCTCCCGGGGGTGTCCTCAGCAGGGAGGAGGTGGGGACGGGCCAACTTGGCGGAGGCTCGAGCCTCGCTTTTGCTTTCGCTGGGAATATTTTTGCCTAATAGAATGTTTATGGATTGCTCAGCTCTGTTTCTGCTGCGTAGCCCAAACAAATCGATGCGGCGTTAGAGACGGCGCTGGGGGTGGGGTGGGAGCCTGGGTCGGGGCCCGAGTCCCCACCACGTGGAGGCCGCGCCGCGTGCTCTTCACCTGTTCGGCGCGCGCGGGCGCTCAGTGCGCACGGCTTCCCGAGCTCGTGCAAGTAGCGCGCGTTCCTGCGGCGCAGTCCGGCTCCTTCCCGCCTCTCTCCGCCCTCCGCTCTGAAATCCCACCCCGGCTTCCCGCCACCCAGCTCTGCTGGCGCTGGGATCTTCGGCCGCTGGCCGCAGCTCCTCAGAGCCCGCCCTCCCGGGACTGCGGCGAGCTTGCGACGCACAGCGGAGCGCGGGGCAGGAGGGGGCGCTCGGAGCGGGGGCCGTAGCCACCGCGAGACCCCGGGTCCCCGAGTCCCAGGGCAGGCAGCCGCGCTGCGACCTGGCGAGGCGTCCGGGCGAGCAGAGGGGCACCCCGGTGTGTGGCACCGAAGCGGGCTCCTAGCCGCCCGCCACCTCCTTCGGTCGCGTGCCGGGACCCCGGATTATTTCCGCAATTGCTGCGCGCACCTTTCTCCCGCTTTCCCCAGATTCCTTCTCGGAATGGGTCCTCCCGCCTCTGCGGCGGCTGGGATGGCGCACACGAGTGAGTCAGAGGTCTACCGTGGCCTCGCCCTTTCCACCCATAGCCAGGTCCCTGTGTGCCAGCCGGTTGCTCTGGCTGAAAGCCTGAACAGCCCACGGCCTGCGATCACACTGGGGGAGCTGGAAGTACCTACTCTGGCTGAGGAGGTCCCGGCCCCAGGTCCCACCCTGAAGCTGCGCCTGACCTCCTAGTGGGTGACCTGCCTCTCACTGCGCACTCCGAGCCTCTCTGGAAGTGACGCAGCGCGGCCAGGGGTTGCGAGGGGAGGGGGCTCTGCAGAGCGCGGGAGGCAGGTGGCAGAGCGGGAGTGGGTCCGAGCGGGTGTCGCACACGCGCATTCCACACTGCTCAGGGACAGATGTGTGAACATCTGGGTAGGAGCTGTCCCCGAGTATTCACAATCGCTCCCGCTCTGCTCAACACACGGTACCTGAAGTTGTGTGTGTCTGTGTGGGCATGTGGATATGTGGTGTGTGTGCCAGTGTGCGCGCCCTCGAGCGCCGGGGCCTGCTGGAGTCCGCGCCTGAATACATAATACCGTGGGCATTCTCACGGCGCGCGTGCCCGCGCGCGCACACAGAGCAAATCACACAAACATACATAATTTGCGCAGCATCCAGGTCTGTAATTTAATTTCTCTGCGAGCTTGGAATTTAGAATTAAGGCAAAAAGGAGTGGGAGGCCCAGAAAAATCTCTCGAAGTGGGACCTGGACCCATCCCCTTGCACAGGATTTGCCGCTGTCAGTAGACCAGTTATGGCAAGGGAGGAGATGCGAAGGGCTGGATTTGGGTGGAAAAGGCATTCATCGATGTTCCTCCTCAGAAAATAAAACCAGAACCCAAACACCCCAGCTCAAAGTTGCTGTGTATGTGTTTGGGGAAGGGCTGAGGAGCAGCCTGCAGGAGCCACTTTAGGCCCGCTACACTTTTGGGGCTTCCAAGAGGCTGCTGGGAGTTAGCCCTACCACTGAGGCCATCATCGTTGAAGTGCTCTAGGGCAAGGACACTTATTTCCTCTCTACCCTTGTCCCGTTTCCTCCAAAGATGGTTTCCCGTCCCCAGTCACCTGTAGCAGCTACTATGAGTTTTATTGTCAGATTTCAGGCACCGTTCTCAGAGGGAAGAGAGGCTCACCTAGGACAGTGTCGCAGGAATGAAGGACCAGCCTCCCTGGATCCCCTGAAACCAGAGACCCCTTTCTTGGGAGTAGACCCCTTGCCACTCCCCACAAACGCTGGCTTCCCACCATTCTGGGCCTCCCAGTGCTTATCTTCTCAATGTCCACACACCCTTCTTGGCAGGGGTTGAGAACAAATTCCACTCAAAAGTTTCTAACCACTTCACAGGAACAAGAGCCCTTCGAAGGCCCTGCCGTTTGTTTTATCTAATAATATACTTAAAAGAACATATGATCTACTTTCCCAGGAAACACGATGCAGGAAGGACAGTGGGGACCACCAACCTCCTTGGTGGCCAGCTGAGCCCAGTGGATGGCCCCTATCTCAGCTGCAAGCCAACTTTGCTCCACCAGCCTGAGCACTGTGAGTTGCAAGCATATCCATCCATTCTGAAAGGAATCTACAGCATCTGAAAATCAAAACTACTCTTGCTTTCCCAAACCCTTCACTTAACATTGCTCAATGTAGTTAAGTGGAGAGAATGCAAATGATTTATATTTCACTGGCTACGTTGAAGAAACTCAAGGGAGATGTGTTCTGCTTCAAGACTGGAAAAAAAATCCCCAAAAACTGTAATGCAAAGGCTTTGTAGTATTTTTAAACCTTTGATTCAGTCCATATGTGACATCTGAACACCGCCAAATTCTGTTACAATACACACACACACACACATACACACACACTCCTAGCAGGAGAGAAAAGTTGGGTTTTAGCAGCCCTTGTGTACAGGGAGGCCCGGCTGGGCTCTCGCTTTAAATTATTGAGTACTGAGGAGCCTCCTCCTCCGTCGTTCTGCGCGGTCTCCCCGCATTAGCTGGCGCTTTTAAAGGGGGAAACCATGTTAGAATGAACTGGGAAAAACTTTGAGGGGCTTACCTGGTTGGCCTCTCACTTCGGGTCCTGAAAAGCAGAGAGCTAAGAAAACCCAGGTGAGAAGAAACAGATCCATTTTGGAGAGGGAAGCTTTCTCCAGGGCTGGGCTTGTAGGATTCTTGTGTAATTATAAGTCTTTGTGTTTTTTTCTGTCTCTCTTATTTTCTTCCTGGCAATGTCTTCTGCAAAGGTCTCTAACGGTCAGCGTTTCCCTCCCGGGTCCTGGCGACCCGTCTTCACCTTTATTCTTGCTGGAATCCCCACCTCACCCTGAGGAGGGTAGCTCTTGATATCAGCCAAGAGGGTTAGAACGGGTTTTCTCTCAAACCACAAAACGCATCTACGCTCTCTCCAGTTCCTCAAAGTGTCATTTCCTTTATCTTACAACATCACGAGTATTTCCCGAAAGCCAAGCATAAAATAATAATAATGATAATAAAAAGCAAAGCCAAGACTTGCCTTGGGCATCACCCGGCCCCCAGGCAGCTGTGCGATCTCAGAGGCGTAAACTGATACCCGCGCCCCGGCACCCGGGACGGACCCGCGGGCAGAGGCACCGATGGCCGGACAGCCCGGGTGGGAGGCGGTCGACGGCTCCCGTCCTCGCTGGGTTTCCCCTAGCGGGAGCCTCTCCCAAGGCTACACCCGCTCGGCCAGCCTCTCGAGGGGAGTCTGCGGAAGGAAGCTGCTTCGGAGGCTGCTAGCGTTGGCTGCCGGAGCGGCGGCGGTGCCGGGATCGCCCGGGAGAGCGCTCCCCTCTCCGAGCTGGCTGGCGCCCGCCCTCACCTCCACCTCGCCGAGGGGCTGCGCATCTGAGGATGTGCTGGGGGCTGACTGCGGGCCGGTGCCTCGCTCGCCTTCTCTGCCTCCCCTCCGGCTCCCCCCTGCCTTTTCAGGCAGAGCAGCATGTGGATGTCAGAGCCGCGGCAGAGCTATCCGATTACGCGCCGGCTCAGGACCCGCCCCTTCTGTGTTCCCGATTAAAGAGGCAGCCGCGGAGACGCGCGGCGCAGAGCCGAGAGCCGCGGCACCCAGCTCCGCCTGGGCGGGGGCGACTTCCCCCAGCCGCCGCCCGATCTAAGTGAAGGCAGCTCGCACCCCGCCGCCCCTTTCCCCTGGGCACCTCCCACGCGCCCTGCGCACCTCTGCGCCCAACTGCCAGTGCGTCGCTCTCCTGGGCACCTCCACGGCGCTCTGCCCTTGGTCGCGTCGCCCTCGCTGGAGGGAAACACAGCGGAACCGGGGGCAAACCTCGTTCCCCTTCCGTTCCGTGACTCCGTTGCCACACACGCAGAACGCAGCACAATGCCACGCTCACTGGCGATACAAGAGGAGTTGGGTGGCGCACGGTGTTTGCGGCAGGAGTCAGCCGGCAGCTCAGCCATGTGTTCGCGCAGGCAGCAGTGCGTGGCGGCGACACACACTGTCAGCCCGCGCTGAATAGAACCCCAAACACCTCCTGTGATTGCTACTCTGATCCTTTGTTGTGTCCCAAACAGGCTCCCTTGCTCTCTGGCTCAGAAATTAGTTACCCCTGCGCCCTTAACTTGTAGCCGTAATAAGACCAGGGAAGGCATTTCAGTAAAGAATTTCTCCAGGTAATTAGAGTACACTCTCGCGTCTCCCCAAAGTTCAGGTGCGCCGAGCTTCTCCTCAAACTGTTGCTGTAGTTTTCTGTTGGCATTTCCCCCCAGTGTGGTCACACGCAGAAAGACAACAGCAGTATACCAACTCCTTTTAAGTGGAGGCAAGAAACTGTTTGCAGGGTGCTGCGAACACGCCTATCTTTATTTATGAGGATGGCTTGTTGGATTCCAAAGGTCTCCTTCGCGGGCCACCTATCGCTACTCCGTCGTAAAGACCCAACAGAACCGCCTAAATAACACTTTCCACATACCTTTTCTGCCAGCCAGCTGAGGAAGAGAAATAAAGTGTGAGTGGCAAGAAACACACCTCTGCCTATGCCATTTTCGTCTTTGCTTGTACTTGTGGATTCTTCTGGGTGGTTTCCCTCCTTATCTGGACTTGCCATTAGCTTTGTTTATCACCTTTAGTGTTTGAAAAATCTGTAACTCCCACTTACATGTTATTTACACTGAGATAACCAAAACAAAATTAAATCAGAAGTGATTTGCAACTAGTTGAGCCAAGCCATAGAGGGATTTCACAGTGGAAATCCACAGGCTGATTATCACACTGCTAATCGTAGATGCTGACTGCAAAGGGCGGGTACCAGAGGCCTCTGAATTCTTCTAGGGAGCATGCCCCCACCCAGCAAGGCCACTTTTTATTCCCATCTGACATCCCTCCCTCTATACTCCCTCCCTCCCTTCCTCCTTCCCTCCTTTCCTTTCTTGGCTTGAGGACTCATCCGCATTACTAAAAACTTCATATTTACATTTTTCCTAGTTAAAGTTCAGTTATAAAGAGTAACTCCTGTCCCCAAATATTTGATAAGGTAAAGAGGCAGTCTGGATTTTGAATCTTAAGCAGAGAGCCCTGCTTGTGGTCATTACTAAGATGCCAATCTAAGGACAAATAAGGCTATCTGCAGTGATAGTCCTTGAACAGAAAGGGTCATTTTGTCGTTGAGTATCACCTCCCCCACCACTCCCAAGTATGCTTAACCATTCTAGTAAGTGCCTAAAGTGGGAGAATCCTGCTTTGGAGAACACTAAAGCCACAGTTTAGGTGAAGGGCGTAGTGAAAAGAGAGGAAAAGGAAACAGAAACCACGATGACTCTTGGCATCTTGCTTTGGGGCCTCAGGGTTGAGGGTCCTCATTAGTCTACTCCCAGGGTCCTTGGTCCAGGGAGAGTCAGGGAGGGTCTGTTCAGTGTTCTGTTCCTGGACCCAGCTCCCGGCATTAAGTATTCATTCATTTTCAGAGATGTCCTACAGGGAGAGATCCTCACTGACTTGCTTCCTGGAAGGCTCTGCACCACTGCTACAGGACTTCTCCCCAGTCTACTTGCATGGTGGCCTCATTTCCTGCAGCTAGGTGGAGGACAGCCCTAGGTGTGGAGCCCTGGGGACTCCAAGCAGCCAGAGCATTTTCCAGTCCTCTAGGGGGCAGCACTAAATAAATAATACCCACTCACGGTCCTTCTGGTGGTGCTTTTGCCTTCTAGAGCTCTAAGTGCTCCATCAGACCAAGGAAACTGGCTGGCTTTCCCCAGCCCACTCTGATCATGATTCCAGGTAGGGCTTAGAATTGCTTTAATCCAGGACTTCCAAGAATTCTTGGGAATGAAGCAGAAATCCCACGTGTGCCACATGGAAAATGCGTCTTTAGGGAAATTCTCCAGACTGGGACTGGCTCAGACCTGCCAGCCTTGTTTTGTCTAGACTGGAATCTCAGAGGTTTGGCTGTATTTGTATTTGCTCCACAAGAGGAGCCAGGTTCCACACTTTTCTGTAGTGTGGGAGCCCCTATCCTTGACCTCAGTTAGGGAAGCCTGCCTACTACCAGGCTAGTCTTAGCCCCAGAAAGAGCAGACTTATCAACTGAAACACAGAACTGGCTAGAAAACAGTTAACAATGAAGCTGGTATCCCTGACCATACTATTCACCTAGGATATTCCTTAATGGTGAAATAATAATAGATAATCCCATACCACATTCCATTCCATTGATGGGAAGGAATGCAGGGGAACATAAAACAGATATGTAAATGATGTTAAGAGAAAGCTGTGACTCAGCCACACCCCAGCAGAAAGCTGGGTGTTTCCAGCTAGATCATCCTAAATCTGAGGGTGGATCAGAGACCTAGGACAAATGCTAAAAATTCAGATCTCTGCTTACCGATCTCTTATAGCTTGGTTCCTTGGGTCTAGAGTGGTGTCTGGGAATCTGTACTTTTTAACACACATTTTAGGTGATTGTGATGTGAAGAGCCCTCACAGGCCAGCAATTGGCCTGGACCTTTGCATAATAATTCTGATATTTACCCACAGTCTTCGATATATGCTTTTGTTGAAAGACATCTGGATAAATGTAACTTCACATTTCCTCCCTGCATACTTTTTAGATGGGGACAGAGTGTTTATGGGAAAAACCACCGAGAATATGTCCTTAAAATGCTAGAGTGGGGAAATTCCCAGCCATACCTTGTGACACTCAGTAGCTACAACAGCTCAAATCTTGTTTGAAAACCCTGGAAAGCTCACCTCCTGGGGACAGAAGATTTGCAAGAATATGTTCAAAAGGCTAGGGTAGGGGGTGCATGGAGCTGCATAGGCCCTGTCCTCACCATCACAGTCAGTCTGAAGCTTGATTCAGGTACAGCTTGGCTTTTCCTCTGTGTTCATCACATTGTACTTATCAGATGCTCGTGGATGCATGACGATGCAGGAGGTACGGAAGCAAGACAGACACTGAGGTCCTGCCTCCTGGGAACACAGGATCTAAAGCTCCAGAAGTTTCATGCTTCCACAGTAGACACCGTCTGTCACACGGTGCTTCCCTTATTTGGGCTCTCATATCGACAAGCTCTCACCCCTGAAAGCAGCAAATAGGAGGCATAATCGCATCTTAATCTGTAATTTACCACCCTGCCCTTGTTAATGTTTAGCTACATCTGTCTCAGAAGCAAAGCGTCAGTTAAAATGTAATTGGTCCTCATTTTTTATTCTCTCTCTTGTTTGACATTGAAGTCCAGGTTTCCTGGTCAATAGGGTTTAATTTTTTTTTCCTTCTTCACTCACTTTGAAAACAATCAACATTTTTTTCAACATTCTTGGACACTGTCTAGTAGTTTCTACTTGATATCATCCTTGGTGGGTTCCCAGAATCCTTGCAGATGTCCATAAAGTACTGAAATCTCCTTCACTCTAAACCTTGTGTGTATTTCGTCTCTTTCCTCAGGTGTGGCAGGAGGAAACCTTATGAATGAAAACAAAACCAAACAAACAAAGAAAAAAAACAGCAGCAAAAACACAGCAGCAGCACACGCAGATGCAAATATCCCTAGAATCCTTGGTAAAGGGAACTAAAGAAGCCATACCACTTCCTCCACTCTGATTGGCTTTAGCAAGAGCTAGATCTCCCTCTGTTACATGAATGAATTTTTATACTTTTGGAGCTTTAATGTACCAAAAAAGACCCAGTCAGCCCCTTGATTTGAGCAGCACTTTCCAGCACTCTTCCTGCAATGACAGAGGTATCTGTGCTTTTAAAGGTGACTACTTGACATTTAAAATGTGGCTTGTGTGATTAGTTTAAAGTTATTAATTTAAATTTAAATTTAAATTGTGCTTACCAGCTACTGTGTTGGACAGACCAGCTTTTGAATAATGGGAGACCAGAGCTGGATATTTCCTATAGAGATCTATAGAGACCCACACTCTTACAATGCTGAAGATACCAAGAAGGGAACCCTAACATCTGTGGAAGCTCTGACTGCTAAGGCGTCCTTTATAGACATGTCTGCACCTGGTTGGATAGGGAAGAGAAAGTATAGTTCATCACTGTATCCCTTCCTCTGCCCTCTTGTATGGCTTTCATAGACATTCACAGGGAATCAGGGCTTTCCTGGTGCTCTGCAGGTCCTGGCCTCAGGTCCAGCTAGTAATAACAACCACAGAAAAGCAGAAGGAGCAGCAGAAACCCTGAAGTCAGGGTAGATGACTGCCTCCACTTAAGTGTCTCTGAAAGTCTGTTAGTCAGTTTAGAATGGTCTCCTCACCTGTAGAATGAGGGCTTTCTTTGAATGACTTTTACCCTGTTCGGGTTTTGGAGTTTGGCTAGAAGTCCTTCCTAATCCCATTCTCATTCCTGAATTTAAAACTGGTTTTAGTCTGAATCCCATAGGCCACCCTTAACTTGACATTTTAATAATCAGTTATCCTTAAGATGTTAATGCATGGTGGGGGCTTAAT